TTCAGTGGCTGCATCAGTCCCAGCTACGTGGGGCAGGTGAGGTCTGGTGGGACGTCTGAAATCGAAGCAGATAGATTTGTCTCTCTAGTGCTCGTACAGCTGCCCGTGCTGGGCCCAGGAAGCATGAAAAAAAGTGATTTCAATGCAGAGAGAAAGAAAGAAGATGTGGGGGCCAAGGGACCAGAGCGGGGAACCAGCCTGCATTGCTGAGGATGCAGATAGCTGCAGCAAGCGACGGAGCAGAAGTTCAAAGCGGTGTCCAGGATAACAAAAGGGAATTACAGAATTGGATTTAGGGACAGTGGGGGGAAGTCAGAAGTTGGGAGCAGGCTTGCAGTAGGATTGCAGAGGTGATGGAGGTTGATCAAGTGGAGCTGGGAAACTGGCTGAGGATGCAAGACTGGAACAAGGAAACAGTGGGGTGAGGTACAGCACTGACAGTGAACGGAGACCCACATGAAGGGGAGACAGACTGAAACCCACTGGAGATGGAGAAAGTGAAGACTGGCAGAAAGAGAGGACTGTAACTGGAGGTTGGGAGGAAGGCTGGGAGCTCTGAAGGGGAAGACTACTTTTGAGTCATGAGAACAAGGTGCCAAGGAAATCAGGACCGAGATGGGAAAGACGTGGAGGACAGATTGGTTTTGGAACCCAGAGCAGAAGAGCCAGGATGTGGGCAAGGATAAGCTGGAGAAGACTGAGGAGGACAGGTCCTACTTAGGAGGAATGTACACAGAACCCCACATCTTCTACGTAATATTCTTCTCCTTAGGACATCTGACTTCAACAGTCCTCTGCTATTGGCAGATGTACATGAACCTCACTGGCAAACCACTAGAACTGGGCCGAATGCAGAGTAAGAAACTAGTGCTGCTAAGAATAATTTGGCTCTTGGTAAGGACCTGAGCAGTATCCTTAGCAAGGCTAATCTTGGTGATTACTTCTGAAGATGTCAGTGACTACTGTTTCTGCCTTGCAGGAGGGGGCGGAAAAGAAGTTCAGTTTACAAAAAAAGCTAAAAAGAAAATTGCATTTAACATAGGCCAAAGCAAAACATGTTGAAAGGATATTTTCACAGTTGCAAAGGCAAGTGGTTGACAGGTATAAAATACCAGAAATTAAGTGTGTGAGTACAGTCATAGTCTTTGCCCCGTTAGGTATGCATTACAGGGTGGGTAGTTTTCATGGCTTTTTGTCAGAATTCAGAACGGGCCAATTCATTTGTCTAAATATAAAAAAATAATGCCAAGATGGCTTGATTTCCAAAAAGCTCCGTTAGGACTCAGGCACGGTTCCAACAGAGCTATGTCTGCCAAGCAGAAACCTGCGTATTATCCTGCCAGCTTATCCACTCGGCTCCCAGCAGCCAGTTTATGGGACTGCTAGCTTCCAAGATCCAAATTTTGGGACAGAGACAAGGGACAGGCAAGGGATGGTGGGGAGGTGGCACGCCACATCTCTATGGGACAGAGTTACGTGGAGTCTGCAGACCTCTGGGCTAGGCGGCTATGCAGACAAGGGTACCAGTTATTCCTAAAAAATGGCACAACTGATTTCATGTGGTGTCTAATTGATTCTTCTGACCAGCAATGCAAAGAAGTAGCTGGCCTGAGGTCGAATAGCGTGTAAGTGCCCAGTTCCCAAGTTTTTGGCTTCCTGACAGCCTGCCAGGTGGAAGCCTGCACAGCAAGGCTCTATAAGCCCCAATCTTGGGTTCTCTGGCAGCCAGGATTTCATTTTGAAGCTATTATCAAGTAACTTTCTGTTCTCTTGCCTGAGATCTTACAGTGATTTCCAAAGAACATCTCCAAGATTTTGCTTTCATTTGGATGTTTGTAAATCTCGAAATAGTTTACAGAATGTGCAGCCCTCTTGTATTTGATTACGTGCTCATGCTGTTGCATATCTTTATTTGTATGCTGCTTTCAGCAAGTCCTCATTCAAGACAGAACGAGGATGCTTCATGTACTGGAGAGACTGGAAAGTGGGCGGTAAATGTGGCAGAGGTAGGACTGCAGACAAGACAAGTTGTATGCATGCTGCAGCTAAATACTGCACTGTAGAGCCAAATTCTGTATTCACCTTTGCCACAGATCTCTCAGATAATGCTAATTAAATTACTTAAATCTGTCTTTCCCAGGGGGTTGCTAAGCTGGCTGATGTGACCAATCTGAAGAAGGAAAAAGAACTCTCAGAAGCAACATCATTTCAATAGGAGCAGAGCTTTGAACACATAAATGCTATACAACAGCAGGTGAATTGGAAAAATCAAGCTGCAGGTTTCTGAAATTGAACATACAAAAATTTGTGGACACTTTTAAGCTCAGTTCATGCCTCAGCTGCCATTTGCCAAAGCACTCCTGATCACCCAGGTGGGTTTTGAAAATGAATGCATTGTTTCTGAAACATTTTGATACCACAGAGATTATCATCTCAGAAAAGCTCCTGAGGAAATTGATAATTATGTCTTCAGAACAGAACCTGGAGGAAACAAAACACCAAGTAACAGCTCATTAAGTACCATCTTTTCTGAATCACCCTTCAGATGGCTGGTTTGAGGTCACCCAGGAAGCTTGTGGCAGAAATGAGAGCAAACCAAAGAACCCATGATGTTGAAGATGGGCCATAATTCTGCCTCTGTTGCTCTGGAGAAGAAATAAGTATACTGATGGTATGAGATGCTGAACTATAAATAAGGGTATGCGGGCACTGATACTAACTCTCCTTACAGTGTCATACTTCAGAGCACTTTTAATCTCCAGTACGCAAGCTGGGCCATATTTTGTATTTCTCTAAATCAAATATAAGTGCCTGAAAACTCATCACATAAACTTTGCAATCAATAAAAGGAAAAGGCAACACAAACATTAATAATATTTTAAAGCAAGGGGCCGCTTTTGACTCTCCACTAATATGTCAGATAAAATCACTATGTAGTTAGGGAAGAAAACAGTACATAGCCCTCTAAAAAACCACTGTGGCAACACTGACCTCCAGCTACAATAGCAGAACCTTGAGAATTGTTCAGGTCTGACCTACAAAGCTCACCTTTGACATTTTGGGCTTAGCATATGAGGACAGGCTATTAACCTTTTTTTAAATAACAGTGTCTTGTCAAGGGCAGGGCATGATGAAGTAGCTAGGGCACTTGGCAGTCGACTTTGCCAACTCCAGATCGATAGATATGAGCCATACTGACACGTTTGTTTTGCAAGTGCCATGGATTGCTTTTCAGGCTGCAATCTGCACTGCTCCGACGCATCGGCCTTAAGGAGCACAGGCAGGATGAGGCTGTATCACAGGTGCAGCGGCCGCTCAGCCCACCGGCACGCTTCAAATGTGCCACATGCTTATGCAACTTATTCAGAGTATATTCAGTCATTGTTTGAAATTTCTGACCAGCCAATGGCCCTGGCAGCTGAATATCCAGAAGTGCAGTAGAATAACTTTAAGGAAGTCAAATCATTGAAGAAAGCTACAGTTCAATCAAAATTGATAGGGCTGGCAATCTGCTTTCTGGAGGAGGAATTGTCAAGTTTGAAATTGTAATCTAATGGAAGAAAAAACAGTATTGCACCTGAGGTACCAGCTAGCATTCTCAGTGCCTGGTAATGTCTTGACCTAAATGCCTGAGCTGTAAGGATAGACTGCTGGATTTTTTTGTCTGGCCACATTCAGTTTGATAGTCATTTGGAGAGCGGTATCATTTAAGAGGCAGCATTCCCCACCAGACTTACCATGGTGAACTGTTAGTGCAGCAGGTAGCAACACAATTACTAATTTGTCATTCAGTTCCTAAATTGTATCAACAAATCTGCGATCCTATTGTAATGTCGAGCAAGGTACCACCTACATGGAAAGACATGGTGATACGAGCTTTTTATGTCACAGTATGTGACCACTGCCCCTGATGGTCTCAGGTGTGTGAGATGTGCCTTTCAGAGTCCAAATTGCTAGTGGCTTAAAGCTAATCCCCTAACCTCTTGAAATAATTAGCAATTACATCACTCCAGGCTGGAAACAAGAAAGGACTAAACAAACAGAATAGAAAGTTAGAAGATCAAATGGCTGTAACAAAGTCATTTTACCTTACTGTTCTCTATATCTCATCTCAGAACGAATAGAGGAATCAACCTTCCTTCCTTCCTCTTCTCTCCCTCCCAGAAAAAGCCCTGGAAAAGTTTCTAAGAACTTCAGGAACATTGAAATTATACCTCAATTCTTCCTACAGGTTCACATGAAGTGCACTTTTTAGTGGGTTCATTGCTCAAAACTAGGTGTTACTGCAATCAGGTTTTCTGTCTTTGTGTCCTTGTGAATAGGTCTGAACATTGCCAACATCAGAATAGTCGGAACACAATGCAAAAAAATTCCCATTCTCATCTATTGCTGAAGTCTTTCAAGGCCATCTGAACATCCTTGTTTGGGACAATCTGAATAGATTTTAAGCATCCTATTAGAATTATAAGTCACATTTATTTCCAGTGCTACCTTTCTAAGCACCAAGAATGCTCAGAAAAGCACACTTAATAAGAGGAAAGCAAGGTTAATGCTTTTAGTTCCCGTTTCTGTCTATTGGTAGAAACACACACATTAAAATTCTCATCTTCTTTTTTAAAGACTGGAAAGTCACTGTCTAATGAAAATGTGAACTTTGTCATCCAGCAGAGAAACAGCCACCAGTGAAACCTCGGTGATAAACCATTAATCTACTGACTTCATTGCTGGAGTGAAAACTGTTCACAGAAAGTTTGCTTCCGCAAGGCTTCCATTTGGAAAGCAACACTTTGCTGGCTGAATGAAGGGGGGTAAAAGTCAAGAGAGAACAAGACACAGAGACAGATTAGCATCTATGTCATCATTAAAAATAAACACAAATCTGGATTAACCTTTTTAAGTGCTCATTACCTAACTGCCAGGACAATCCTACGTGTGCAACTCTGCATTTCTATAAACAACACAGCCATTAGCTTGGCTTTAGATTTCTGAGGTAACCTCACCTTTTACTGTCACATGGACGCTCTGGCTGGTGGACAGCTGGGGTTGAACAAGGACATTGCACGTGTATTCACCCTCATCTACTTCCTTCTGCACATCCGAAAGCTTCAGTGTCCCGTTGTTCTCAAACGCCACTTGGCGATGGTTAAATGGCAGCAGGTTGGAGTTCTTGTACCACTTGATGGAGTAATAGGGGTAGCCGATCACACGGCAGTGGATGTAGGTGTCCCGTCCTGCTATTGCTGTGATGTTCTTCATCGGTCGAATGCTTGCTGGCCCTAGAAAGGTAAAAAGAAACTCTTGAAAAAAATTTAAAGGCATATTTGCTTGGGGAAACATGCATATAATTTTTCTGAATATACAAATGTTAACGACATTTACAGATGTGGCTTGCACAACACTTCTTAGCATCTGACAGTTTTCCTTTTAAGAGCTACTTAAACAGCTTCCCTGATCTTTATATGCTCTAGTTTTTCCTCACCCTGCAGCGTACATACTAATTATGTTGGGGTACATGTTTGCATTATCCAACACTTGCCTGATAAAATCTTTGCTGCTTTACAAATTAAAAGGCTGAGGATGATTTAATTAATGCGAAATACTAAAACTGATACAAAGGTAGAATCCTGTTACACATGAGAACACTGACAAAGTTAGGTTTTTTTTGGATGTATATAACGTATAATACCATGAGGATGGGTATTATGCCGTATAGAGCTAGAAATGCAAGCTAAAGTACTGTCTACACAAACAATTACAATGAATGTTGGACAAGTAAAGAAGGAAAGGAAAAGAAAAAAATCCCATGCACAGCAGGACTAAAGTAAAGAAACTGTGAATGAATAGAGATGAATACAGGAAAAAGAAACTATAGAACACAAGCCAAAGGGTTCTTTCAACATTTAACCATACCATACACTTTCTAGGTGGGGCTGGAGAGGCGGGGTGGGAAAAAAGAGCGAGGAAGAAAAGGAAAGGAAAAACAGTAAATTGGTTTTGGCATTCCAAGACTAATTTCATCACATGCAACAATCTTCTCCACTACAATGAGTTATGTGTGTTTTTTTGAGGAGCTGATTTGACAAGCACCTCTTACGTTTATTCGAGCCTGGTACAGGACGACTCCAGCAGAGTTGTTGGCAATACAGCGATAAACTCCACCGTCTCGGACCTGAGTGTTAGAGATATTCAGGTAACTGACCACGTTGCCTTCAGAGGTGATAATCTGGCTGATACGATGACTGCCATCCTTCACAATGGGATCTTCATCCAGTGTCCAAGTGATCGTAGGCAGAGGAGTCCCCTTCACATTGCACATAAGGGAGACTGGCTCTCCCGGACTCACCACTTTTTCACTGAAGGCAGAAATGATTTTGGGAGTTCCATCTGCCAAGGGAAAGAAAAGCAGGAGAATAGTACCTACATGGTGAAGAGCTTGTTCCCTCTATCCTGGAGCCTATCACATGAGCCAAGATCCTTTTTACAAGTGATGCAAACAATTCTGTCCCAGGATGTAACTCTAACTATTGAGAGAGGGAAACCAATTTTGGTAGCAGAGTACTTAAATGACCCTTTGCTTACTGCAGGTTTCTTTTTCATCTTCCGAGAAACTTGGTACAAACTCTGCTGAAAGAAAAGCACATCTATTTAAGTATAGATGGTCTGGGGCTCTGCACAGCTATATGAACTGCCAGGTTCTTGCAGAAAAGTGTTAAAGCCGTACACAGTTCATCACAAAAGATACACCAAAACCTCAAAACATTTGAGATTTTTCTTCTCCTGGTAGATTTCAGCTCCTTGGAAAGCTAAGGATGAATCCTGTTGGCTACAGATAAATATTCCTCTGAAATGAGAGCATTCAAGTGCTTTCTCTTATGATCTGTGTCACAATTTACTCAGCCCCTACCAAGCAAGAGAATAAAGAGAATGGATGGAGGCAGAAGCTTTGAGATTGTACGTAGGGAGCAGGATTAAATAACCACCTATCCCGAGAGTTCAGCGGGCTAACGTTTAGGAGTGCCGACAGTCTGCTATTAGTTAGGAAGCTCTTTCTGAGACCATGCAATGCATGTTTGTTCTCCTTTGAAAAATCATACTTTCAAAGCTGTATCTAGAAGGAATTTCAGTTTAATTGGGAGGAAAAGGCCATGCACCCAGACAGTGTGCAGAACACAGGATGCAATCCAGTCCGAAGTTCGGACAACAGTGCTGCAGGCTGCTGTCTGGGTTTAAAGAGCCAGCTGGCAAGTAAGCTAACTAACTTCAGTGTTCCTACAGCGTTAGTGCCCGCAAGAAACAGAAGGAAACGCCGTCTCATTACCTAGAGAAGGGCCAAAGACACTTGAAAACTCACCGTGTACATGCAGCCCTGTAAGGACAGCTCCTCTCAGTTTCGCACAGGACAGAGGATGTCAGGACAGGGCTGACAAGTCTCATGCTCTGTGTGATGCACGATTTGTTTGTGCACATTATGTACTGTCTCTTCGTGTACACTCTGCTATGTGTTACCTATACGGTTGGGAGGCTTGAACCATGATGACTCCCCTGGAAATCACAATCTTACATTGCAATTTCAGTGCAATGTCACGCAGGAAACTGAGGGAACTGGTACGATGTGTGCCCCCACAAAATAGAATTAAAAACAGGGCTGCAAAATTCCTTTGCCTGCCACATAGTAAAAAACCTCAGGCTCTGCCACTCTCAGGTTGCTGAAAGACCTCAGCATCCCTGAAGGAACATTTGATTTTATTTGATTTCATAATTTTCTCCTCTGCCCCCCTCTCCCTTGCATTTCTGTCCCACTGGTTATGTGACAGAGTTCTAATTTATTTATTTATTTTCATCTCTGACTCTCTTCCTTTCCTTTGCTGTGTATTAGATACTGTCACCCCTCAGAAAACTAAACAGCAGCAACAACAACAAAAAAAGGCTTTTTATCCTGAAAGAATACTGACACAGGACCAATAAATCTGTGAGTATGCACATGATGTACTTCTGCCATCCCTCCTCCTCTTTTTTTTTTTTTTAATTCAAGTGACAGGCTTTTTTTTGGAGATGAAAGCAGACATTATTTTCCCAGTGAGACCTGAGTGTCTTTGAAATCCTTCCTGCTGTTGCTCTCTGATAACCTGCACTGTCTTGACATCATGATAGATTATCAATATGCTCTTTAGGCTTTCTTAGTCACGGGAAATGGTTGCCGAGGTAACTCGGTCCAGGCAGGTAATCTCTTCTTTTTTCATAAAGACTCTAAAAATAGTGTCCATGCCATGACTGCACTACAGCCTCATTAGTGAACTGGCTCTGTACAAATTGGTAACTTTCCTCACTTGATTATCATGTAGAACATTGTGTCAGTTAGTTAAGATGATCTCCAAGCCTTCAGCCAACACACCCAGGCAGAAAAGCCATGCCCAAAAGATGTCTGGAGCTGAATAAAGACCTCTTCTCTTGTGTCATGCTGAAAACCTAATGTAAAACATCAGCATCACCATCATTCACCCCCACCAAAAAAAAATAATAATAAAGTGACTGGAAGGACTGCTTGGGAGGAATTTTTGTTTTCAAATCAGTATTTTCATTCTATTAGGTTTTGCTCAGAGTGGGGCACAATAAATGCCACCGACAGTTCATGAGTATCCTCTTCTCTTGTTTAGGGTCCACTATCCCTCACTATACAATGACGGCACCAAAGACGACATATATATTATTATGGAGACCAGAATCGCTAAACAGGCAGTGACTGACCTTCTAGTACCACCTGAACATAGTCTTGAGCAGACATCTTGTCCTTGCGCACAAAGCACTGGTAAGCTCCACCGTCACTCTTGGCCATGCCATCCATAATAAGGTTCTCCCGATTGATGCCAGTGATCCGGACATTGTTACCAGGGTTGATGATTTCACCATTACGATACCAGGAGAGCTCCTGGTCCTCAGTTCCCGTCACACTGCAGGACAAAGACACTTGACTACCAACACTGCTTTTTACCTTCCGTGGGCTGATCGTGGCTTTTAGTGGTTCTGAAGATTTAAATCAAAATAAAGGAGAGAGAACAGGAAATAGAAAACATTAAGAATACATGTGCATTTAAGTGCAAGTAACAAATCAACTCTCAATTAAGGAGAACAAAAATCACAGCCATACCTTTCTGAAAAAAACACAAACCAAACAAACTACAGAGGCCTGTGTTTGCTCTAAACAAGCATTTTTTGCCACCAGCATCCATGACACAGAACATAGATCTATAGGGATAACTTATTCAACACATGATATAGTCCCGTGCATAAATGAACAGTAGAAGCAGATCTACTGAGTAACACTGTTGGTGCTGAGGGCCTAAGAATGGCCCTACACATGTTTTTGGGAGGGTAAGATGTTACTTCATATTAGTTCAGTGTGGACCTTTGAACTGGTGCATTAGGTGCATTCCTGAAGCTCATCTTCTGGTTTAACTTCCTGCAAAAGGAGCCTAGTATACGTGTTGCAAAACCACTCCCTGATGCGAACAAGTGCAGTAAATGCCAACGACCAGGACATTAGCTTTTAAGGGTGGAAGATCCATGCGAAAATGTTAATGTAGGCACACCCATAGATATCCATCAGATCCGTCCACGTGGAAGTGTTTTTGTGTGTGGGCTAGATTTTCCCGTTCAACATAGGAGGAATACAATATTTTCAAGTCAGCCTTAAGAAACAGTAGGACATGGGTAATGCAGGTTTTAGATTGTAAAAAAAGAGGATGAAGAGTGCTGAAGAAAAGTCATAAATGTAAACGCAAGGAAAACAATCTTTATCCTGACACCTAACAGTTATTGGCATTACTGAATGCAGATCTCATCTCATGCCGTGTACATATTGATTTGACTTCCTTATAAAGATAAGGGACTACTATCACCACTGATACAATCTCTGGTACTAAATACATACCATCCTATTTATTTTTTTACCAGCTTGCACACATGCATACACACACATGTATACACACGCTTATACATGAAAATTTCCTCAGCTAACTCATTCACTTTACTGAATATTTTATAACACACAGGCTGCAATAAATCTTTTATACATGAAAATTTCCTCAGTTAACTCATTCACTTTACTGAACATTTTATAACACACAGGCTGCAATAAATCTTTAGTGGCCCACTGGGAACAGAGGCCTGGATAAAACCACACAGGTCAGTGGTCTCAGTCATTCTGGATCACAGACACGTATGTAACTGGATCACAGACATGTATGCAACTCTGGATCGCAGACATGTGTGCAACTCCGGATCGCAGACACGTGTGCAACTCCGGATCACAGACACGTATGTAACTGGATCACAGACACGTAAGTATCTCTGGATCACAGACACGTACCTAACAGACCTTTCCTCTGCAATGGTTCAGAGAAACAGTTGATCTGTGCTCATATGCATGTTACAGATCACTGAATATCTCTGTTTCCTATCCAAAAGACCACAAAGGCTCAAACCTGTCAGTGCCCCATTAAACAGAACAGACCCACTCAAGTGCGCCACCGCCATCTCAGAGCTGTGATGATGCAAGAAAGTGAACCATATCCTCCACTGCAGAGGAGGGTAAAACTCCTTTGTCCAACTGTTGCTTCCTTCCAACCTGATCCAGAAGATATCTACTGACTGACCAACCACTGAGTCAGTAAGTAAAATGTCCCACCAGGCACTGGGGATACTTTTGGCATCACTAGCAACACGATTACATCACGTCTTTTGAAGTTTTGACCTTGTATCATACAAGGCAGGCTGAATTCAACTAATTTTTATGAATACATTTAGAAGCAAAGCTCCTCTGTTATAATTCACGAATTACTGATCTTTGATCTCAGTTTTATTTTGCCCAAATACATTATGCGTAATTATTTATGAAGACATTTTTATGACCTGAACTGTTCACAGACTTCTCCCTTTTCAGTTTGCTAGTCATGTTGTATAGGTGGAAACTTTAGTTCACAGAGTGTTATTTCTATTCCAGGAAATATTTTTTTTTCTTCTTAGCAATAGAAGAATAACACTTTTCCAGTGCAGTGCTTCTGAGTAATAATTATCTTTGTAGAATTTGTGAAACATTCAGAATATTCACACATGAATACTCAACTGAGGGGAGGTATGAGTATTCAATATTACCGAACAGCATGAGTCACGGCAATGAGAGTTTGGCAGCTTTATTCATGATAGCATTTGCAATTTCTTTTTAAGCATCCAATTCAAGCTTCTAAATTACATATCCTCCATGTGATAAATTATACAGCTACATTAGAAATTGCATCTATTTGCACTTCTGATCGCTCAATTGTCCAACTAACTCATCTCCACAGAGCCTGCTTTCTGTTGTTCCACAACTTTGAGAAGTTTAAGCATTGCTAAGAGAAAGCAACAAAACAGAAGGCACAAGAAGATACGGCAACATCTTCCCTGATGCAAACACCCAGGCAAGAAGTGGTCTGAGATCTTCACTCAGTCCAGGACTTACGTTTTACATACAGTCGCCCTATCATCTCGGCAGTCCCATAGTTGTTCCACACCTCGCAGACGTAGTTGCCCGAGTCCGACGGACGCGTGTTCTCGATCAGCAGCCCTGTAACTGTCTGTCGAAACCTGCTGTCAGGCTCCCAGGGAACATTGTCCTTCAGCCAACGATACTTTGGTGCGGGGTGCCCTGATGCTTTGCAAGGCAGCTCCACTTGCTGTCCTGCCATGGCTTTACGGTGGTCAAACCCATCTAGAATAGATGGAGCGGAATTCGCTGGATCTGCAAGAACAAACAGCAGTTTTCAACGGGAGCATTAAAATTCTTTCATTCACTAAGCAATATGCCAGTATTTTTTCTCCTGCATTTTTGGACTCACTAGCCCAGTGTTTTATGTACTACAGTTTGCTACTGTGACCCAGCCATCAGTCTGTAACATCTCAGTAGCGGTGGCTGGGATCCAGCAGCATGTATCACTGAAGCATCTCATGACTACTTGGAAAACCTCTCACTGGATTTTTTCCAGGTGGCAACCATTTCTCTGGTCATCCTTCATCTCCCCTATCAGAGGAATGAGAGGCAGAAATGTGTTGCCTTAACAATTATTACTGTTATCCCTGTGCTACTCCACTAAGAATGAAGCCAACACATTCTCCATGCTTGTCGGTGGTCTGAAGGCTTCGAATTAAAGAAGCGATTTATTCCCTTGTCAGGAGAGAAATGGGCAAAGACACAGGAATTTCTATCCACAGTCTAACTGACAGACAAGCCTTTTCTTCTCCGGAAAAAAGAACTTAATGTGACAAGACCAACCTACAGATTAATACTCCAACTTTCTGTGCTCAACGTACTGAGAAAATCATCTTTCAGACCAACACGCTTGTGTAGCACCTGGCATATATTTATGTATCTCACAGAAGTCTGGCAGAATGACTGCACCAGAGGTGCACGTACCCCAGCAGAAGTAGTACTCCGTTTGTGATTTTGGCTTTTTTAAGTCTGAAACTTTTGGAGGAAGAGGTTGATGTGATTTACGGTTTTGTGCAGCATGCAGCGTGATGGAAGCCCATCCTGGAGCTATCGTAACATAAATACTGAACGAAGAATCAACAAATACTCATCTAAGTATTTTCTCATCATATGCACCCACTTTGCTACGACTTCTGTCTCACAAAGAATCTCCACATGCTGATCAACTTCTTTTACTCCTGTCTGACACACCGATCTCTTTTTTGGGTATATTTACATCACAGTTGCCTGGGTGTAGGTGTGACTGTAACCATTTTGACATTTTCATGTGGTCTTTGACTTATCTAGCTCGGGCACTGCTCACAGGGCAGCTGTAGCAGGTTCCTGTTAGGAGCTGGAGAGATTAAAGGAGCAGTTTGTGCTGAATTCAAGCTGCTCAAGCGATAGTGTAATCAGTTCCTGAGCTAGTTAGATTAAAACTAGCTTAGATATACCTTCATGAACTGCAGACACACCTGGGAGGGTACACTTGAGAGCAAATAGCTGGAGGTACTATGCAAGTTATACTATCAATCCAGAAACTAAAACTGCGATGGTAAAAAAATGGGCTAAGCAAATTTTATCTGAATTTCTAGATAAAAAACTAAACGTCAAGTTCAATGAAAGATGACCACAGAGGTTTCTCTGCTCTCTAGGTGCCAGCAAGAAGTTGAGCCACTGAAGGCAAAACCACATTCAGTTTACAGCAACTTACTGTCTGTCTCATTAGAAACGTGTCAGCCAGAAATAAATGATTTTACATGCATCAGTAGGCTCAAGGTCCATATTTGGCATCAAGATGGGTTATATTTTTGAGCTTTCCATGCTGTTTATGTCTGGCTTAGTGAAAGCACAATCTGCCAGGATGCTATTGGGAAGGCCAAAGTCAATTTGACTAACTGATTAGTCAGCTCCTTTCTTGCCTTTTGGGTCATCAGGCATCTATGTTTTCAGTTCATAGATTCTTTTGTGCAACCCAAGGAATTAACTCCGTAAAAACGTAAGCATGCCATAAATTACGGCTCTGGCTCTTAGGAAGGTTACATCCACGTGAAATCAATTTCTTCAACTGAAAGTAACTAAATAATAAAAAAGTAGAACTGGCTTTTAAAGGTGTTGTCTGTGCATTCCTACTCAAAACTGACAGGTAGCTTCATATCTTCTCCATATGTTAACTTCAAAAGACTTGGTGAAGGATATATGTGATCTCATTTGCAAATCTTTAAGTATAAAAAATACACAGTACCGCATGGACTTCGGAACAGGATGGGGGCCATCAGGGGAGGAATTAAAGTAATGGTAACAAAAAGTTGTGGCTAGTAAATACCAGACTCCGACCGCCTCCAAGTTTGCTGCGGAGAACTGCATTTGCTTGGTGCTGGGCTGAGGCAAAGTACAAAACCATCTCAGACAAGAAGGTGATGGTGACAGCAAATCAGCCGCTGCCCTCCAGCCCCCACGCCTAGGCGGGGGCTGCCCCCGGGAGCTGGGGGCTACGGCAGCAGATGCCATGGGAGGCACAGCCCCCTCCTGCAGCTACCATTTCTCACCTTTCAAGAACAGCACACCAGTCCCCGCATCCTCTATCCCACGTTCACTTTTTCCCTTCTCAAACTGAGCCTTGGCAGGAGCAGCCCAGCCTGGAGTCCCATCCACAGAACAGTGAAACTGGGATCTGCCTATGTGCTTGAGAAGCCTTGAGCTGGTTCTTATAGAGGAGGTATTTAAAATATATTCAGGGATACACAAAATATGATTCCAGTGACCTGCTTGCTTCCTCTCTGTACTTACATATTTAAATGGATGGTAAAAACATCTCTTTGGGATGTCCCTGGAACAGACTCCTAGTTAGAGCTGGGGAGGGGAGGGGAGGATACTTTCACAATCACAAGGATTTTTTGGAGGGTAGGGGTTAAAAAACAGTAAAAATTTTGGGAGCTGGGATTCATGGGTGACTAAAATTATTTTGGGAAATATAAGGACACTATAATGAGCATTACAGGAATATTCTGTAGCATGTTAATGGCCTTAGTTTTAATTTTATTTAGAAAGGCCACATGATTTCAAGGAGATGTTCTTACTCCAAATGAAATTTGGACCTTTGTTTTGGTCCTAGGCATACTGATTATTCACATGTGTATTTGCTATTACACGTGCGTTACCTTTCTCACTCTTTCAAACAATAACGAAGCTTAACTAGTATTAAAAAGAGACTATGAGCAATATCCAGCACAAACTAGTTTATCCCCAAATAAACAAAGAATATTTATGCATGTAAAAGGCAGGCAAAAATGTAGGTCTCATGCAAGCCGACCTTTCACAACTATGTTCATGAATTCTCTGATCTCAGTTCTTAAAGGACTCACTATTTTTAAATATAAATCCCAGTAAAGAAAAAAGAAAACCCATTAGAGAAATATTAAGAGACAAACTCTGCCCATAATTGCTGCACCTGTTCAGTAGACTAACAGGACTGGAAAACAGAGCCCACTATTGCTCTAATAGAGAATAATTAACCCCATTGAATGAAAAAAGCCAGCTGTTGCACACAGGTAAATTTCCTATTTTGATTTGGTCTGTGGAGAATAGAAGAGGGAACTCCAGACAGAGCACATCATTTAGGGTGCTTGTCCAGAATTACAAACAAGACAGAGCTTTCATTTTTCCCCTTTTGTTCAGTGAAATAACCAGAAATTTTCCTGTGGTAACCAAGATACAAGCCTGATTTTATTTATGTTACCACTGGCTCAGCCTTAGCATGATTTCATACGGAAGCAGACCATATTATGGAGCCAGCTAGAAGGATAGGACCCTGCCTATCCTTATAAGACCAAAGCAGGCAGATTATCGTGCAGGAAAACTACTTCTTCATCTGGCTGGGAAAAGTGGAGGCAAGAGTTTTACCCACAGGGGACACATACCAAAGAAAGAAACTCCTGGATCTGACTGGTAAGTGATTCTAACCTGAACAATCACATTATTTTTTTATCCTTAGTATATTTAAGTACTGACTTGTGTGTTCAGAGGGCTCCAGAATCCATCAGCAATGACCGTTTTGGAGGAGGGCAGGATGTATGTTACTAACGCATAACCTTGTGCCCACCTCTGTCTCCCTTAGGGCTCTCAAACAGAGGGTGGAGAGCTGAGACCTAATCACTAGATTTTTTTTTTTCTGACAAAAAAGACCAAAAGACAAGAGAACAAGGTCAAAAGGAGAATGACCTCATTGACTGTTAGATTGTGAAGGTCACCATACCCTGACTGATCTTTAGGGTTAGGATCTTTAGGGCAACTGAGTAACAGTGAAAAGGAGAAAAAGCTCGGTGGGGCTTTCAGTGGGACGGTGGGCATATCTTCTGTAAGGCAAGGATACAGGGAGAAAGAAGAGAGAGTCTGCGAGACAGTCTTGGCTAACTCTCTGGATGTGGGAATACAACTGCAGATTTGCTCAGATGCAAGGACAGGGTGCAGTTACAGGCACCCAGCAAATGAGGGAGAGGAAGAGGAGATGAGAAGAGCTCATCCTATCCAGAGGTGTTTGAGAGCAATTCCAAGCCCAGGCCTGGGGTCTGCTCCTCCTTCTCACCTCACCCACAACTGGCACCTCCTCTCACTGAGACAAAATAGGGAGAAGGTGGGATCAGAGCAGCACCATACTGACAGTCCTAAGTGTTGGGGGGGGGCGGGTGGAACCCAACAGTCTGTCACACACACAACAATCAGGAAATGATTCACAATGACAAGGGAAAGTTAAAATACCCCATCCACCTTCTCATTTTCTCACCTGCTGCACAAGGCCATTTGCCCTAGGACTCTTAGCTCTGCCCATGGACAATCACCAGCTAACCCTGCTGTCTGCCCGCAGCACGCTGGGCAGACTGGGACAGGTCACGTACCTCCTCTGGCTGGAGATCCCTCCTGGAAGCAGGGGAACACACTGGTTTTGCCCCAGGGAAGGAGTGTGATGAATGAAAAGGAAGGCTGAAATGCGCCTCAGCTAACCTGAGGCTCTTGCAGTGGAAATATCTACAGCTGAGCTAAATGTCCTGAGCTCCTGCTATGGTTGACAGAGAGAAACAGGCACCATGGGGTAATTAATCTCAGCCCAAAGTGGGCAGCTGAAGTAGGTCAGAGACACTACCCCTAAATGTAGTCCTCTTCTTTGGTTACAAAGAGAAGTGAAGGTGACTAGATACTTCCACTGCACAAGTCTGCTTTTAATGGGATGAATCCCATCCACAGTCCTTCTATAAAGTACTCTAAAACTACTAAAAATCAATGTAGTAAATGCCAGTGCTACCTACAGGCTCTCTGGAAATACCTAATAGGAGCTGAAAAACAGAAAAAAAGGATTTTAAAATGGGACATTTTACTCTGCAGCAGGAGCTCACAGCTGACCACTTCTACCTTCTGTTTGATAGACAACTTCGTGGTTGGTCCATACACCCACAAGAACCTGCCTTGTCAGTTTAGCACCCTAGAAAGAGGCATATATAATACTTAATTTAACATGATGTATAAAGGAGTACCTGATACAAAAAGTCTTGCACTGTTGCTTTGTCGTGTTTCTCCAGTGTATCTGTGCCTTGTGATACATCGGTAGTTGTACAGTCCGTCTTCATTCTGTACGTCTAAAATATACAAGGCTCCCGTGGATGTGATGAGAAATCTAGGTCCTGAAAAACACAAGAATTTGTGATGTTTAAAATATCTGCAGGTTGTTACTGTGTTCTGCTTGCTCACATTGGGGGATGGACGACAGAGACGGGAGGGTCCCCAAGGATTTTTTGCCAGAGTCTAGAAGCTGCCAATTATAAGTTTACTAAGTACTCACTGCAAATGCATATAAAGATATTAATTCATGTGCACTTCTTATAAAAAAAGGTAGGGATCTGTAAGGAAAATGTGAAGAATGAAGGAAAGAAATGTGCCATGGTCCATATCACAACCAACAAACAGTATCCAAGAGGCATCTGAAATAAAATACAGGGTAAAGAACCAACGCAGAATTTAATTCAGTTTAATTCAATATTGATATGATGGTAGTTCACCAGCAGAGCTGTACGTGTTAGAAAGACAGTCTGGAATGGCATGCATCATTAAACAATATTAGCCAAAATGGCATTTCTTCTCCAGGTACACCACAAAATAGAGGGGAAAAAAAAAAAAAAAGATCATGAAAAGTAAAACTAAAGGAATCAGTGAAAGCAAGAGAATAACATAACATGTTTAAAATAACATTGCAGTCTGTGATTAGAGAAGCACGATGTAAGCAGGTAGACAGACTCTGTGTCTAAAAGAAGGGCTTAAATAAACAGCACAAGGTGTGTCATTTAATATCCGAAGACTTTTTTTTTTAAAGGTTTATTTCAGGAAGAAAATTAAGTCGAGTAAAGTGACTGTCCCCTAAAACTGGACAAGACATGTTCGAGGTCAGCATTTCTCCCAGTGTTCATTGAAATTGAAAATAATATAGTTGAAATTCTCTTCAAATACGTATTTTTTATTACTAACTCTAGTATATGTGGAAAACATCATGGTACATATGCACACATGTGCAGTTTGGGTCATTTGACACCTGCACAAATGCCTCTGTTCTGTCAGAAATGCGTGTTCTAAAAGCAAGGACACAAAAAAGCCAACATCTACATGGTATGTGTTTACGCTAAGGCTTTTCCCTTATTATGATAAATGGAAGTAATGCAATTAGACTGCATTGCAAACTTGGACCTCACCTGGCCATTCTTTCCATTTAAAAAATACTGCAGTCTAAGCTATGTATGCTTTTCTAAAACTTTGACACTGGAGAAAATGTTAGTATCTTTTCTTTTTTCTGTCTGCTATTTTTTCCCTAGTAGTTGGTAGCTCTTACAATGTACATACCTGTACCAATGTACTTTAAAATACACCTGGCTCCCAAATTAGGGGAGGGAATATACAAAGATTAAACCCATTATGAACTAATATTCAGTAATATACAGTAAGAAATATTTTCTTTTCTTCAGAGCTCTACTTGAGCAGGGACTTTTAATAATTAAGTGTAGTCAGGGTGCTTGCTCACAAATGCATCAGTGGGAAAGCAATCCAGCAGAGAAAAGCCAGAAAGGAAATGGTATCATTACAGAGGGCAACCTCCTTTGAATCACAGTCTAAAAGAAATAGGGGAAAAAAAAAAAATTAACAACCATTTAATGTCACAGGACAGGACGGAGCCTTAGAGAAGAGAATATTGAATAAAGCAACACCAGCCCACCTCTCTCATCCTTGTATACATACTGAATTATAAAATAACCACACTGGTGGCTTGTCTTGGCTGACCTTGTTCTCCTGAAAGTCAAGGCACAAGCACAGAAGCCGTTAGGTCACAACTTCGGAAAAGCATAGACCACACTGCACATATCCTTTTGAAGTTTCTTGAAGTAACATGTGCCATTATTAAGAAGTATATTAACAAAATAAATCCCTGGAATGGAGGCACAGCAGATGTTGGAGCTACTTGCCTGCTACTGAAGGAGAAGAGCTGGGCAAGGCGAGGTGTGAAGGAGGAGGGAGGAGCAGAAGGCAAGAGCATTCGCCTCGGCCATGAGCAACGCTATAGTCCAGCCTCGGAGGGTTTACGTGCTAGGGAGGTTCCTCCTTATATAGAGGCCATATTGACTTCATATGCCTCTGAAAATTTAACTGCTTGCATACAGAAGGCTTGTGTTTCAATGCAAATTACTTCTAAACAAATGTACTGTTGAGTGCAGTGGGAAAAGCACCTGAATAGGTAATATTTCCATTTCACAGACAGGTGGCTGAAATATGACATTGAAAAGGTTACATGAAAAAAGCAAAGCTATGTTGCATCTTGTATTTTAGTATGTTAGTTGTAACGTTTGAGGGAAATTATATAGACAGTTAATAAGTTAAACCAATAAACCATGTTTTACCTAACTTCTCAATTACTAATAAGTTATTTATTTGGTAGTCACAAAATAGCTTGGCTTGACCAAACATGCTAATGAGGTTTTCTACAAATACCAGGCAGCTGATAGCTACCTACTAGCAACCAGAAAGGACAGTGTGCAAGCGTGCAGGCAATCACCCAGTGAAGCCCCTGAGCAACCCAGGGTGGTTCTTTACCTGCCCTCGGTCACACAGCCCAGCTCCAAAGCCATAGCAAGGGCAATCCGACCACCTCTGAGGGAGGCAGGCTCAAAATGATTCACACAGAAGAAGTACTTTCTGCTGGTTAGAGAATACTTTTTGTTGTTGTTGATTCTTACACTCTTAAGTCCTAGATATAATGTAATGTTCTATGCGGAGTATTCTTCCTTTTCCTTTCACAGTCCCCAATGACTCAGGCATAAATACTTGTCCCATTCTACTCTGCCTCCTCATCACATGGGTACTCAACATCTGCACCCTTTAACAAGGTTTACTTTTACCCCCAACTCTAGGTTCTAGGTTAGAAGGATATTTAGAGTTTTGATGTGAAAAACATGGGCTGTTTGACTTCTGTGTCACATGCAGATTCTGCACTACTGAAATACTCATAAAGCAAATCTACCTTTGCCAAGAAATGTGTTATAAGGACTACAGGTAATTAAAGCACAGTTGTCTCCCTTAGTCCGCAGGCAGCATAAAATGACAGCTTCAGAAGATGGGAATCACATTTAAGGATTTTACTTGAGGTTAATGATGGGTGTGCAGCAAAGGCAATCTCTTCTTGCTTCTGTTTCCAGCTGTGTGAGCAATAACCAGCTCTGTATTTCAGACAGCACAGCCAGTTCAGACGTGTGCTTGCCCACAGCGATGCCACTCGGCTGGCAGGGGTGCCAGCCTGCTGAAACCGCGCCGCGTC